TTCACTCTTGCCATCTCCTGTTTGACCACTTCCAATTTGCCTTGATTCATGGACCTAACATTCCAGGTTCCTATGCAATATTGCTCTTTACAGCAATATCGTAACCACATAGAACCTTATATTTCAGGGAAAATGATGTGGCTTTTCCTCAGTTAAGGTGACATCTCTAGGAAGTTTTGATGTGAGTTTTTTCTCACAAGTCTCCAGCCTCCCTAGTCGAAAGTTTATTTATACAGATTTAGAATTCATTTAACTTTTTACATATAGAAGTGGTACTTATGTGATGCTAAGAAAGAAAAGATACAACTTTTTATTCTGGTAACTAACAGATTTTTTGAATGATATTTTGTTTTTGTTTTTTTTGCTATGAAAAGTGAGAGACTGAACATGCAAATGGTGGTTGGACCATATTTAAAACTGAACTTTGTATTTCATAATATATGCAAGTGTGAAGTCACTGTGTTGTAAACTGAAACTAACATAATCCTGTATGTCAACTATATTTCAATTTGAAAAAATCTGAACTTTGACCTATGACCTGCTGAGAAGACGACCCTTTGTTTATGATAAACAGTCCATGAAGCCAACCTACTATATGTCAGATTTTACTGGAAGACAGGATGCTATCTCTGGTGACAGTCCAAGAAGCTAAACAGTAACTTTTGTAACAACCGCAAATGGCCAGGAATTGATTCATTACTGACAGTTTCCCCAATTTTTGTCCCTGCTTCCAACTTAGGACCAACCAGAGATAACTGAATATGTCCCCCAACTAATCACACAGGATGACCCACTTAAGTCTGGACGTTTTCCCAGGCCAGCTGTCTTCAGTCAGGCCACACTGGAAAACTTCTTTTTTCCTACTATAAAGTTTCTCACTCTTCTTCCTGCCTTTAAGTCAAGACACAAGTGACATTCACTGACTTCCTTGCTATAGTAAGCCCAGAATAAATACCCTTTCCTTTTCTCCTTTGATTGGTCTTTATTTTCACAGAACAATAGACAAGAAAATTAAGAATTCATAGTCAGTAGACAGTTGTAACTCTGGAAACCTTTATTTACTGTTCATAAATAATCTGTATTTACTGTGCATGCATCCTTAGTCACTCAGTTTTGTCTGAGTCTTTGCTACCCTTTGGATTGTAGCCTGGCTGTACTGTCCATGGAATTATCCAGGCAAGAATACTGGAGTGGGTTGCCATTTCCCTGCCATTTCCAGGGAATCTTCCTGACCCAGGGATCGAACCTTTGTCTCTTGTGTCTCCTGCATTGCAGGTGGATTCTTTACAGAAAGGTTAATGAAATAGTCAAAACTACGGTTTTTTCCAGTAGTCATCCACAGTTGTGAGAGTTGGACTATAAAGAAGGCTGAGTGCCAAATAACTGGACATGGAACCACAGACTGGTTCTAAATTGGGAAAGGAGTACATCAAGGCTGTATATTGTCCCCCTGCTTATTTAACTTACATTCAAAATATGTCATGAGAAATGCCAGGCTGGATAAAGCTTAAGCTAGAATCAAGATTGCTGGGAGAAATATCAATAACCCCAGCATGCAGATGACACCACACTTCTGGCAGAAGGCGAAGAAGAACTGAAGAGCCTCTTGATGAAAGTGAAAGAGGAGAGTGAAAAAGTTGGCTTAAAACTCAACATTCAGAAAACTAAGATCATGGCATCTGGTCCCATCACTTCATGGCAAATAGACAAGGAATCAATGGAAATAGTGAGAGACTTTATTTTGGGGGCTCCAAAATCACTGCAGATAGTGACTACAGCCATGAAATTAAAAGACGCTCCTTGGAATAAAAGCAATGATCAACCTAGACAGCGTATTAAAAAGCAGAGACATTACATTGCCAACAAAGGCCTGTCTAGTCAAAGACGGACCAGTAGTCATATATGGGTATGAGAGTTGGACTGTAAAGAAAGCTGAGCTCTGAAGAATTGGTGCTTTTGAACTGTGGTGTTGGAGAAGACTCTTGAGAATCCCTTGGACTACAAGGAGATCCAGCCAGTGAATCCTAAAGGAAATCAGTCCTGAATATTCATTGGAAGGACTGATGCTGAATCTGAAATTCCAATACTTTGTCCACCTAATGCAAATAACTGGCTCATTTGAAAAGATCCTGGTGATGAGAAAGATTGAAGACAGGAGGAGAAGGGGACGACAGAGGATGAGATGATTGGATGGCATCACCAACTTGATGGACATGAGTTTGAGTAAACTCTGGGAGTTGTTGATAGACAGGGAGGCTTGGTGTGCTGCAGTCCATGGGGTTGCAAAGAGTCAGACATGACTGAATGACTGAACTGAACTGAATATTGAAGAACTGATGCTTTCAAATTGTGATGCTGGAGAAGACTGTTGAGAGTCCCTTGGACTACAAGGAGATTAAAACAGTTAACTAAAGGAAATCAACTCTGAATATTCATTGGAAGGACTGATATTGAAGCTCCAATACTTTGGCCGCCTGATACGAAGAGCCAACTCTTGGGAAAGACTTTGATGCTGGGAAAGATTGAAGACAGAAGAAGAGAGCAGCAGAGGATGAGATGGTTAGGTAGCATCACTGACTCAATGGACACGAACTTGAGCAAACTCCAGGAGATAATGAAGGACAAGGATGCCTGGCATGCTGCAGTCTATGGGGTTGCAGAGTTGGACATGACTTAGCGACTGAACAACAACAACAAATGAAATATGGGTAAAAAGAAAAATCAAGCTGTTTAAAGATTGGGTTAGAGATGTCCTTTAATTTGTAATTTCTAAAATGACAGCTCTTCACTGTTACTTTCAATGATCAAAATATAAACTTCATAGTTGAAACTTCAGAACTGAAATGGGGCCCCAGAATGCTGTGACATTTTCTCATGGATTATGCAAATCTCAGTGTCTGCGTTGAGTAATCAGAAAATAATTTCTAGATGAAAATCATCCTCAATCTAATTTTGAAAGTGATTAAAGAGCAGTAATTATTTTTCAGTGACAATAAAATGCATTTGCTTTTAAAATGTTATGATTGGTGGCATTTGAATCAAGACTATTTAGGTTGCAGATAAGAGAATTCTACTGATACTAGTTTAAACCAAAAAGGCCAGAATTCTTTGTAGAGACCCTTTATTAGTTTGAGGAAGCACCACTCAGAGTTTTTGGTTTGCTCAGGATTTTTAGTCATAAAGATGTAGAATCCATAAAAATTTTTTCCACATTTACTAGGGTTATCATGTGACTTTTTTATTCCGTTACTGTGGTAAATTATAAGATTAAAAAAAACCATGTTAACCTGACCTGACATTACAGGTATACATTTATCTTTTGTATATAGTATGTCCATATATAGTGTTATGTATATACATATTAGGTATGATATAATATATATAGTATTATATGTGAATATATAGTATCCATTGTATGTTGTAATCATATAATTATTTACATAGTATATATATTATATTATTTTATCCATGTACATTATATATATATATAATGTGTGTGCATGTATATTATTGTTTGTGAAAAAATATTTCTCAAAACAAATGATTTTTCTTGATAGAGATAGACAATTTGATATGACAGCTTTTTATAAGGATCATCTTTAGGAAGAGGTCGTGTAATTTTGGAAATTCAAAGGGAAAAAGACTATTTTAAACATTTAAATTTAGGTCAAGATTTTGTCTTCTATCTTGGAATTTATAAAATACATTTCTTAATAGGAAAATAGCCAATTTGCTTAAAGTTTTTGTACAAAATATTCAGTATTTTTAACCCATATAAAATATTTCTAATTCTTTTCTTTTTTGCAGAAAATTTTCACTACTGGTGATGTCAACAAAGATGGGAAGCTGGATTTTGAAGAATTCATGAAGTACCTTAAAGACCATGAGAAAAAAATGAAATTGGCATTTAAGAGTTTGGACAAAAATAATGATGGTGTGTCTTTCTTTTCTGTTTATCAACAGCTATGAAGAAGCACTTCTTATGCTTCCAAAAGTCGAAAAGAATGTATATTTTAGTCTGTCTTTTTTTGATGATAATTATTACTTGTGCTAATATTTGTTTTTCTTAGTATGATTTTTATATAGAACGTTTTTGTGAGAAAAAGTTTTATGTAGCTTTGTGCAATGAATCATAAACTGTGAGTAGGGCCTTTTGTAAAATATTAATTATGGAACCTTATACTGATTTGGCTTAAAGTTATAAAACAATATTTTATATTATTTATATTTATATAGAATAATAAGATACAAATATATTTATATTAGTATAAAATAATATATAAAATAATATTTATGTTTTCTTGCTCTTTGAGCAAGAGAGATTTATTTTTATTCATACTAAGCACAAGTGTTTTATATTCTAAACTTTAAGCAACTTTCAGATTATCTTATATTTGATAAGTCTTTTGAAAGAATTACCCGTGATCAGAGAAGATACTCTCTGATTATGAAAGTTAGAAAAGAAACTAGCAGATAGATAGGTTTAAATATATACCTTCTGATTGTGATTATTATTTTTCTATTTATTAATAGCTTGGAGTTAGAGTCTCAGTTATGTACAGCAAAAAGCAAGGGCCACAGTAGGAGAAAGGAAGCAGCTATCAAACCCTTATCACCAGAGGCAACCTTTGATAAGAAGAGGGAGTTTATTTTAAAAATGTATAATGTAGCCTCAGACCCCTCCCCATGCATAAGTGGTCGAGGCCATTCCATTCACAGACTTATTATTCAAGAAACAAGTTAAACAAATAAACAGAAAATATGGTTCATACCAGGGTAGGCAAACTTTTTTTTTTAATAAAAGGCCAGGTAGGAAATATTTAGCTTAGTGAGCCATGTGATCTCAGTTGCAGGTACTCATCTCTGCTGTCATCCTGCAGAAACAGCCTTAGATAATATGTAAATGAGTGGGCATGGCTGTGTACCAATAAAACTTCATTTGTAAAAGCAGGCAACTGGCCTTATTTGGCCAGAGGGTTATAGTTTGCTGAAAAGTGAAAGTGAAAGTCGCTCAGTTGTGTCTGACTCTTTGCCACCCCATGGACTGTAGCCCACCAGGCTCCTTTCTCCGTGGGATTCTCCAGGCAAGAATAGTGGAGTGCATAGCTGTTCTCTTCTCCAGAGGATCTTCCCAACCCAGGGATTGAACCCAGGTCTCCCACATTGCAGGTGGATTCTTTACCAGCTGAGCCACAGGGAAGCCCAAAGTGAGTCACTCACTCACTTCTGATTCTTTGCAACCCCCTGGACTATAGAGTTCATGGGATTCTCCAGGTCAGAATACTGGCGTGGGTAGCTGTTCCCTTCTCCAGGGGTCTTCCAAACCAGGGATCGAATCCAGGTCTTCCACATTGCAGGCAGATTCTTTGCCAGCTGAGCCAAAAGAGAAGCCCAAGAATACTGGAGTGGGCTTTGTTCTCCAGCAGATCTTCCTCACCCAGGAATTGAACCAGGGTCTCCTGCATTGCAGGTGGATTCTTTACCAACTGAGGTATCAGTGAAGCCCTGGTTTATACTGAACCTTAACTTTAATTATATTCAACTTTAAGCAAACAACTAAATCCTTTGAATGGTTTTGATGATTGTTCAAATCTGTGACTCTCAGCTAGGAAGAGCTAAGTTTGTGGTGGAAAGTAGTACTGTTAGAACATTTATTAGCACCCATGAACTTTACATTATATGCCCCAAGTCTACCTTAGTCTAATCTTATAGCAAAATTCAATTCTTACAGTCAACTTAGTTTCTTCCCATAAACTTTCATCTCACCCTGAACTCTCTGCATAGAAGGGACTGTCTATATAGTGTTAGGTCAGGCAGTTGCTGGGAGATGGAGCTAACTAAGGATCATCTCCAGATAAGCAGAGGCTGATCATCCAGTATGTATGGTGTGCACATATCAATGGTTAATTTCAGAAAGTTCTAAATGAACCAGAAGAAATAAAGGTAAAGTCTTTCTATTCTATTTTTATTTGAAGTATAGTTGACTTAAAATGTGGTTATAAAGGTGAAACTTATGATACATTTGTAGTAGATCAAGCAGTTTCCCCTCAACTTATCTTGTTTGTATATTTAAAAACACTTTCTCATTATAGGTTCATATTTTTGTTTATTAGACTTTCATAAAGGAAACTGGGACTTCCCTGGTGGCTCAGTGATAAAGAATCTGCATGCCAATACAGGAGACACGAGTTTGATCCCTGGGTTGGGAAAATTCCCTGGAGAAGGAAATGGCAACCCACTCCAGTATTCTTGCCTGGGAAATCCCATGGACAGAGGAATCTGGCAGGCTATAGTCCATTGGCTTGCAAAAGAGTTAAACACAACTTAGCGATTAACCAACAACAAAGGAAAGCATGTATAATCTATCCTAATTATTCGTGAATTCTGTATTTGAGAATTTGTCTACTTGATAAAATTTAACTCCATAAGTAACCCCCAAATTGCACTCACCGTACTTTTGCAGTCATTCATGGATTTGCATAGAGAAGCCACAAGCTTCATTTGCTTGGTGAGAACATTTCTAGCTGAGACAGAATAAGGTGACGACGCTCTGCTTCCCTGTTGTAGCTTTTGTACTGTAAATAGGTCCTTCTGCAGCCTACTTGGTGCTGTGTCTTTTGCAGTTTTGTGTGTTTTTTTTGATGATTTTGTTATTTACAATGGCCCCCAAAAGCAGTGCTGAAATGTTGGTGCACATTCCTAAATGTGGGAAGGCTGTGAAGTGTCTTTGTAGAAAAATATATGTGTCAAAACACTTTACTCAGACAAGAGTTATAGTGCTGTTGACCATGAGCTCACTGTTAATGAGTCAACATTAACATATATATATATCAGAGAAGGCACTGGCACCCCACTCCAGTTCTCTTGCTTGGAAAATCCCATGGATGGAGGAGCCTGGTAGGCTGCAGTCCATGGGGTTGCTAAGAGTCAGACATGACTGAGCAACTTCACTTTCATTTTTCACTTTCATGCATTGGAGAAGGAAACGGCAACCTACTCCAGTATTCTTGCCTGGAGAATCCCAGGGATGGGGGAGCCTGGTGGGCTGCCGTCTATGGGGTTGCACAGAGTCGGACACGACTGAGGTGACTTAGCAGCAGCAGCATTTTTGTGTGTGTGTATATATATATATATATATATACACACACACACACACATATATATACACACACACACATATATATATATAAAACAGGCTGTATTTAAACAGAAACACACAGCAAACAAGCTTTTGTATTGATCAGTTGATGAGAAAATTGGTGAGAACACCAGAGGCTTACAGGAACCTATCCCCATATTTCCCTTAGGAACGATGGTTCCGTTTCCCTCAACTCTGTGTTCACAGTGACCTTATAGAAAGTAACCAGCGTAAATAATGAAAATCAACTGTATTTCTTTGAGAGGGCAATTATAAAGGTGATTATTCAGAGTGGTGTTTGAAGACTTTCATTGCTGAAAAGTCTGGCTATTTCTGAAAGCCTCTGACTGTTCTTACATTGTCCAGATTCTCATGCTGCTCCTTTCTTCTCCCTAGAAAGTTCTCTCCCAATCCTGTCATCCCTTCAATGTCCTTCTCTTAAATGTAGTCTTTTCCTCTCACCACTAACAGTAGTTTTTGTCTTCCTCTTTTCCTGGAGAACTTTGCTATTAATCCTGGTTTGGCATCAGACCCTCTCTTATTTTGTTTTGTTTCATCCTTTTCTATTCAATAGTCTTAGGATCATCATGAGTCTGTGAACTGCTTCAGGGAAATGCAGTCTTAGAATTTATTGCTTGTATTTTCTCTTTCTTCTTCTCTGTTTCTTCTCCTTTCCACAGCATGCTCTAATTGCTCTCATCATAATAATTTTCCTTCTCCCATCATCTTGCTATCCCTGCTTTCTTCATTTTTATTGCCAGATCTCTCAAAAGAATAGTCCACACTCTTTGGCTTCATTTAGTCATTTTTCTACTTTCTTTTAACTCAGTGCGGCACATCTTTATGCATAATAAATGCTTCATCATTTAGTAAATGCATACTTTATATTTAAGAGATCCTACCTTAACTGAATTTGCTTCAAAATTTGAGTGTCTTGATTTGTACCTCATCTCTGTTGCTTCTTAGTGTGGTTTCTTTGTAGGGCCATGGAAGCTCAGCCTCTTCTTTCGATGGGATATCATTATTTACCTACACGGCTGTTATGATTTTTGGATGAAATAGTATATGTGTACTTACTTAATATATTTGTTAAAATTTGAGTTGGTGTTGCAGTATGTATTTAAGCAAATCTGTAACTCATGTAAATTCATAATTTTACCTTAATCAGTTCAAGGCTTTTCCTTACAAAGTAAGGCATTTGAAAGTCATATTTCTAAGGTCCTTGTCAGTTCTGAGTTTATAATTTTTATTTTTTAAAGGAAAAATTGAGGCTTCTGAAATTGTCCAGTCTCTCCAGATACTAGGTCTAACTATTTCTGAACAACAAGCAGAATTGATTCTTCGAAGGTAAGCTCTTCATCTGTTGACCACTGTTTTTTTTTTTTTTAATTTTGATATCCTGTAATAGATATCTGCATTTATAAGCATGGCTTAAAGCAATTGTCTGCACCTTATCATTCTTCACAATATCTTCCCCCACTTTTCTCCCTTTTCATTTTGTGTGTGCTCATGCACCTAAAGTGTAGGAATGGGAAAACTCTCAAGGCCTCCAGGACTGGTGGAATGACAGGAAGGTGCTAAACCTCTACAGAAGGAGCCTGAAAGTTTTAGTGCTGTCTCTTTTCCTATTTGGTTTTTAATGTGACAGTAGAACTCATTGTTTCAAGATGAGGAGTCAAGCAGATTCATCACTTCTTTATCTTATGCATGACATGACTAGATAAGAGGGAAATCCCAAAGGTCTCCTCACTCACTGACAAACACTGATTTAAAAAGAACAAACAAGTCAAATAAAAAGAAATGGCAGAAAAACCGAACAGACATTTTTCCAAGAAAGATATACAGGTGGCCAACAGGAACATGAAAAAATGCTCAAACATTGCTAATCATCAAAGAAATGCAAATCAGAACCACAGTGAGGCAGCACCTCACACCTTGAGAATGACCATCATCAAAAAGACCACAAATAAGGAATGTTGATGAGGATGTGGAAAAAAGGGAACACTTCTACTTCTTTGGTGGGAATGTAACTTGATGCAGCCACTGTGGAACATAGTATGCAGGTTCCTCAAAAAGCTAAATATAGAACTACCATATGATCCAGTAATTTCACTCCTGGGTATATATCCAAAAAAAAGAAAAGAAAAAACTATTTCAAAAAGATGCATGCACCCCGGAATTCATTTACAATAGCACTATTTACAATAGTCAAAAAGAAGCAACCTAAGTGTCCATCAACAGATGAATGGATAAAGAGGACATGGTAGATACACATAATGGAATATTACCCAGCCATAAAAAGGGATGAAAATTTTCCGTTTGCAGCAACATGGATGGACTTAAAGGGATTATGTTTAGTGAAATAAGTCAGACAAAGAAAGATAAATACTGTATATTATCACTTATATGTGGAATCTAAGAAACTAGTGAACAGAAGGGAAACAGACTCATAGTGAACAAACCAGTGGTTACTAATCAGGAGATGAAAGTGGGGAGGGCAAGACAGGGAGACGAGAGGTACTATGTGTAAAATAAATAGGCTACAAGGATATATTGTGCAGCACAGGGAATAAAGCCAATGTTTTTATAAACACTAAGTGGAGTATAGTCTATAAAAATTTTGAATCACTATTGTACACCTGGAACTGATATATTATAAATCAGTTGTACCTCAATTTAAAAAAAAGAAAAAAAGAGAAAATATCCCCCACACATAAAAAGAAATACCTTTTTCTTTCAGAAAATAGAGATACAGTTTGAATATTATTGCCCAGGGCAGTCAGATTTAGTGTGTTATTTCACAGGATAGAGTGATAATTTCTGAAGTCTAAGTGTCCTTGAAAGCTTTTTTGTTACAAATACAGTGACCAATTAAAAAAAAAAGGTAACAAAACAGAAAAGGATGGTTACATTTTATTAATATTTTTGTCAGTGTTTTCAGTCTTCAACATTACCTAAAAAGTTTCTTCCAAATGGCTTTATTGTCTTGTTTATCTCCTTTTGTATCTGCACTGGTAGCATTTTCCTCCTTTTTGTCTATTCAGAATTTCTTCTGCAAGCAACTGCTTAATAGGAAGGTGCAAATCTCAGAGCTATGCATTGGCATCACTTTTGTTAACATTCGATCAGAAAGGTTTTCCTGAGGAAATGTAAAGCTAAAACATGAAAAGGAGATAAATAGCGTTTTTAAAATTTTTATTTTTGTCCTCACTGTGTGGTGTGCGGTTTCCCAACCAGGGACCCGACCCATGCCCCTTGCAGTGGAAATATGGAGCCCTAACCATTGGACCACCAGGGAGGGCCCTTCAATAGCATTTTTAAAGTGGAATATAGGGTATGTAATGTTCTGCCCCCAAAGCCACATTTTTCCAGGAAACTGAGAGTATTTCTCTGATTTTTTGGCCAGAAATCCTATTTCTGTATTCCTTTTGATAGCTTTAGGACCAATGCAAATTCCAGCCTAAGCTCCAGAATAAATCACAGGTAATAGAGAGGGTGGATTTTTAAATGATGCTATGTAATTATATATATAAATATTTTATAACAACTTTATTGATAAGTAGTTCACATGCAAAAAATTCACTCTTTTAAAGTGTACAGGTCACTGGTTTTTACTATTTTCAGAGAGTTGTGCAACCATCACCATTATCTAATTTTGGAACATTTTCATCAGCCCCCGGAGTAACTCTGTATCCACTAGCAGTCATTCCTTACTCCTTGCCCTGCAAGCTTCCAGCAGCCACTGATCTTTGTCTGTTCTGGACATTCATAAAAAAAATGGAATCATTCAGCATGTGACATTTGTGTCTGGCTTTTTTCCCTTATCATGTTTTCAAGCTTTATCCATGTTGTGGCATGCATCAGTACTTCATTCCTTTTTAGACCAAGTTATATTCCATTTTATGTATATATCACTTTATTCATCCATTCATCAGCAGATGGACATTTGGGTTGCTTCTACTTCCAATATTTTTTGCTTCAAATATTCAGCTATCATGAATATTGCTGCTATGAGTATTTGTGTACACATTTTTATGTGAACTTGTTTATAATTCTCTTGGATATATACCTAGTGAAGAATCGCTGGGTCATATGGTAACTCTATGTTCAACTGGTTGAAGAACTGACAGGCTGTTTTCCATAGTGACTGCACCATTTTACAATCCCAGCAGCAGCGTATGGAGGGCCTGAATTTCTCCACATCTTCCCTGACATTATCTTTCTGTCTTTTGATTTTAACCATGGGTATGTGGTTTTGAAGTGGTATTTCATCATGGTTTTTTTTTTGTTTCCCCAGTAGCTGATGTATATTATTTTTCACTCTTAGGCTATTACTATTATTATTAGCATTTATACTTTTTCAGTAAAAATTTTAGAATATGTTTGGGTTAGAGAAGAAGTTTCATTTTCCATTTTATGAGACTCCTTTGTTACTTGCACAAAACACTTTATTTCCGAAGCTCTGGTCACCAAATGTGTGGGTTTTCCTCCCACGAGAGGCTATTCTCAGTGATGCCAGCTGGATGTCATACAGTGTAATTCAGTTCTAACATTGTCGACCTGGAGGTGGTGTTAGATCCCACACGTTCAGGGCTCAGTTTCACAAGACCGCTCTCCACTTCAGATGCCAATCACAAGGAGTAGGAGGTCCCTAGGTTACCCACAGATTCTGTCTGACTTGGCTACAGATCAGAGGTTCCCATGACCTTCTCCCCACTGGATTCAGTTACTTGCCAGACAGGTTCACAGAACTTGTGGAAATGTGTACTTGTGTTTATCAGTTTATGAACGGATATTATAAAGGATACAGGTGAACAGCCAATAAAAACATACACACAAGAGGAGGTCTGGGAGGGTCCTGAGCACAGGAGTTGGGATGTGTCACCCTGCTGGTGTGTGGATGTGTTTATTAACCAGAAGCTCCCTGAATCCTGTACTGTTTGGATTGTTATGGAGGCTTCTTCATGTAGGCATGAACAGTTATTAACTCCATTTTCAGTCCCTTTCTCCTCTCTGGAGAATTTGGGGGTGGGGTTGGGAGGGAAGGGGCTGAAAATTCCAAGCTTCTAATCATGGTTTAGTTTTTCTGATGACCATTCCTCATCCAGGTGCCCAGCCAGAGTTGCCTTATTAGAACAAGAGATGCCCTACAGCTTTTATCACTTACAAAGTAGAAGGGTTGTAGGGACTCTGAGCCAGGAGCAGGGAACAGAGACCAAATTATACATTTTCTATTATCTCACAATTGTGTTTTCAGTAGTAGAAATCACAGATTTCCCCTTGAAGGCTCAGCCATCAGTGTGACTCATATACCTCCAAATGTCAGTTTCTTTTCTGCCATTTCACTGTCTCTTACTGTTTCCAAGACTGAATTCATGGAAAAGAAATGTGAAAGGTGCTGTTTGAAGCAGCTGTGGCTGAATCATCAGAGTATTAGACAGGAACCATAGCCTACTGAAATATAGCCTCCTGGTTCTCCTTTTTCAGTAGAAGATATGGTGGGGAGTAACTGAAATAGGTGTCTCTCCCAAATATGTGTGCTTCATGTGTCTTTATCTTCTGCTCTCAAGTAAAAAAGCCACTTTCCTTTTAGGCTCTCGTCTCCATCCATCTTTCCTCTCATATCTTTACCTCTAGTTCCTTCTCTACATTTATTGAGGACATTGGCACTTGTCAAATGGTCATTTTCTCTTCGTCCAAAGTCCTAGGAAACCTCAGTATTCATGCTGGAAGCTCCCCTTACTTTCTAGCATTAATATTCCTCACTTTCCTCAACACCTGAGCCTTCTATTTCATTTTGCTTCAGTGCCCACTCTCTCTCCAACTGTATCATAACTTGAAGCTGCTCCTCCTCCAAAGTCTTAAATACCTGTATCCTACCTTATGACCCCTTCTTCCTTTAGATTCTACACTGTCTTGCTCCTCTGGTACTTGCATTTTGACTTACAGACCTCAGGCCCCTTCATTTCCACCAGTTCATCAATCTTCTCTTGATTCTTTCACCATTCCTACTTGCTTTCTCTCAATCCTGAGAACTATCCTCTCAATTGTTCTCTTTGCCCCAGCATTTGGACTATGAAGTATTTCCAGAGAAAAATGAAACTGTGCAGATCCAGCAATAACCAGAACATTCTTGGAGAACCATAAGGAGCCGGGGACCTGCTTCATCAGATTATCAAAAGTTGTTATAAGCTATAATTAAGATATAGTGAGTGGTGTTGCTGCACAGATAGACAAGTTGACAAATGGAACTCACCCTCCAGTAACAGACCCATCCATGTTTGGGATTTGTCACATGAGAGAAGTAACTTTGCAAATCCCTTTGAAAAGAAGAGACTATGCAATAAATGGTACTGGTGCTTCTGGTTATCCATGCAGGCAGAAATGCAGTTGGATACCTGCCTTACGTCATGCATAGAAATCACAGACATAGAAGGCAAATTATGGTTACCAAAGGGGAAAGGGTAGGGGGAGGGATAAATTAGGAGTATGGGATTAACAGATACAAACTACTAAACATAAAATAAATAAGCAACAAGGATTTATTGTATAGCACAGGGAACTATATTTGGTATCTTGTAATAACCTATAACAGAAAATAACCTGAAATATATAAAACTGAGTCAATTTGTTATATACCTGAAACTAACACAATATTGTAAATCAACTATATTTCAATTTAAAAAATGAAACTAAATGTGAAAGTTACACTGTAGTACCTCTAAGGGAAAAAGAAGCAGATGTCTATGTCTCAGTATAGGGAAGAGTTTATTTTAAAAAATACAGAAGTCAATAACCATAAATGAAAAGATTGATAAATTCAGCTATATTAAAATTAAGAGCATCTAGGAGATCAGACCAGTCAATGCTAAAGGAAATCAACCCTGAATAATCATTGGAAGGACTGATGCTGAAGCTGAAGATGCAATATTTTGGCCACCTGTTGCAAAGAGCTGACTTATTTGAAAAGACCATGATGCTGGAAAAGAGTGAAGGCAAGGGAAAAGCGGGCGGCAGAGGATGAGATGGTTAGATAGCATCACTGACTCAGTGGACATTAATTTGAGCAAATTCTGGGAGATAGTGGAGGACAGAGGAGCCTGGTGTGCCACAGTCCATGGGGTCACAAAGAATTGGACATAATTTAGTGACTGAACAACAGCAATAATTCATGGATACTATACATAAAGTGAAAAGACAAAGTACTTGCTAATTTATAACTTGAAGGATTAAATCAATTTTATAAAGAACTATACACATTTAAGAAAAGGACACAGCCCATTAGACAAATGGGCAAAAATATGAACAAACATTTCACAAGAAGAAAAAAATGAATAGCAGGTGAATAGGATAAGTTGGTCAACTGCATTAGTAATTTGAAGAGAAATGCAGTTTAAACCCACCACGGGACTGTCTTAAGTTTGTTGACACTGAGTGTTCTGTGGCTGTAAGCTAGAGTTTGAAATTCATTTATTCATTCAGTTAATAATTTGCTCTGTGCCAGGCACTGTTTTAGACACTTTGGCCATATCAGTCAATAAAGAAAAACCCTTGCCTTGTAGAAGGACGTTTGCATGTGGAAGGTTGAGGGGTAGGATCAGACAATAAGAAATTGCATTAAAATAGAAAATAGTACTAAAAATAGAGTAATAAATATAGCAACCCTGAAGAATAATGTTATAAACATCAGTAGTAACTAGGACTCTTAGGCAAATATGAAATGTTAATACCTGTGTGCTAGAACAAATGAAAATTTAAGTGTAATTTCATGTATGCAGATCAAAGTTAAAAGTGGAACCAGAAAATATAAAAAATATCTGAAAATAGCATTTTATTTGTCTGTCATCTTTATGCATCACTTTCACACAAGTCATAGAATAAATAAAAAATCTGGAGGAGATGCTTAAGCTTTTTTTTAGACATATTCATTAATTAAACAAATAATTGAGCACTTCATTTTTGCTGACCATTTTATGTACTGGGTCTCACAGTAGTGAACAAAACAGTCAAAATCCTGGGCAGTTTAGAGTCACTTTTAGGGAAAAAATAGGTACAAATGACATTATTGCTAAGAAACTTCTAAAACAAGCAAAAAGTTAATGAAAAATATTCAAGGCTACAATATATTAACTGGAAATATTGAAGATAGGTACTAGGATTTCAGCTTATTTTTAATTGATTGATGATTGCTTTATAATAGTTTTTTAATATATATAATCACTGCTGGTGTTCCTAGCATAGAGAAAACTGGAGAAGGAAATTGATAGTGTATTTTGAGTATATTCCAAAGTTACACCCAAATGTTAAAATAAAACATTAAGAACTATCTTCCTGAGCCAGTGTAAGAAAAATAAATCATTAGTTTATTCATTACTACCCACCCCCAATTTAAAAAAATTTTTTTAAAATTTATTTTAATTGGAGGCTAATTACTTTACAATATTGTGGTGGTTTTTGCCATACATTCACATGAATCAGTCATGGACTATCCCCCAATTTTATCTTTATTAGTTCATTGACTTGGAGTTTGATGCAGCACCAAAAATAGCTTTTAGTGAGATCTATAAACTTGGAGTCCATTTTTATTTAAAATGGTTAAAACTAACAGATCATCAAATGCTTGTTGCCATTTGCCATTTCCAAAAGCCTTAGAAGAATATTAAGCTGGAAGAAAAATTGTAATTCTGCAACATGGCCAATAATGTTATTTTTATTAAAAATTGTATTTTATTCTTTAATCAGCTTCTTTTTATTTTCAGCATTGATGCTGATGGGACAATGACAGTGGACTGGAATGAATGGCGAGACTACTTCTTATTTAACCCCGTTACAGACATTGAGGAAATCATCCGTTTCTGGAAACATTCTACTGTGAGTCCACTTTGTGTATTAGTTTACACTTATTTGTAGCTGTAAGCCATTGGTATAGTTATTATCCAGGAGTACTCTGCAGCACTTGTGGGTCAGGGTGCCTAAGTCTCTGTAGCTAGCTCATTGACTTGTAAGAATTCTACATACTCTTGTTAGTTGTAGGGACTTCCCTGGTAGCTCAGATGGTAAATCATCTGCCTACAATGCGGGAGACCTGGATTCGATCCCTGGGTCAGGAAGATCCCCTGGAGAAGGAAATGGCAACCCACTCCAGTATTCTTGCCTGGAAAATCCCATGGACAGAGGAGCCTGGTAGGTTATAGTCCATGGGTCCGCAGAGTCAGACACAATTGAATATCTTAAAAAAAAAACAAAAAAAACCAAAAAAACCCCAAACTTCATAAAGATTGCAGATGTAGTTCCTATGTTTACTATTCACAAAACTTGGAAGAGCTACTGCCTTCCAGAAATCTTGTGAAGATAAGCTGCTCAGCTTTTATAGGCATTTAAGGATTCTGACTGGTGACAGAAGCAAGGTCTGATGCTGTAAAGAGCAATATTGCATAGGAACCTTTAGGTCCGTGAGTCAAGGCAAATTGGAAGTGGTCAAACAGGAGATGGCAAGAGTGAATGTTGACATTCTAGGAATCAGCGAACTAAAATGGACTGGAATGGGTGAATTTAACTCAGATGACCATTATATCTACTACTGTGGGCAGGAATCCCTTAGAAGAAATGGAGTAGCCATCATGATCAACAAAAGAGTCCGAAATGCAGTACTTGGATGCAATCTCAAAAATGCTAGATGATCTCTGTTTGTTTTTAAGGCAAACCATTCAATATCAAGGTAATCCAAGCTTATGCCCCAACCAGTAACACTGAAGAAGCTGAAGTTGAATGGTTCTATGAAGACCTACAAGACCTTTTAGAGCTAACACCCAAAAAAGATGTCCTTTTCATTATAGGGGACTGGAATGCAAAAGTAGNTATGGCCAAAGATCCCTTCTGAAACTTGCTTGTTCAGATTTATCTCTGGAATAAGGCATCTATCATAATAATCATGGAAAGTTAAACAAATGTTTGGCTCATCTGCTCAGCATTGCACACCTATCTCTCTGTATTCCTCAAAACTTTCAGATTTTAATTAAGTTCCATTAATTTCCTGCTGAAATATCTTAACATAAATAAAATTCATTTCAGTGTGCAATCTGTTCCTGGAAACAATGGAAACTCTTTGAGAGAATTTTAATTTTTCTAATAGGCTTGACTTCTAAACTTATTCCTGGATTTCAGTACATTTTATATGTACTAAATGAAGCCTAGCATTCAGATTGCCACTAGTAACAATGCCTAACCTTACCTAGGAAATTGTAAAATTAATGGTGACTAATGCCGGCAGAGGATGAGATGGTTAGATAGCATCCCTGACTCAGTGGACATGAGTTTGAGCAAACTCCAGGAGATAGTGAAGGACAGCAGAACCTGGTGTGCTGCAGTCCATGTGGTTGCAGAGTCAGACATGACTTAGCGACTGAACAACAACAGAAAATGATGCCTTTTCAACTACGAGTATTAAATAATACTATATTAGTAGTTCAGTTGCCTTGATAAAATTTATGCTTAGGTGAAATATATTTACATAATCAAATTATTATTTTATCTTTGGAGATAGTTAATGCACGCATGCATGCTAAGTCGCTTCAGTCGTGTCTGACTCTGGGTGACCCTATGGACAATTGAGGCTATAATCATGTATTCATTTTTTTGATAGTAAAAATAAAGAAGTAGAGGGTTTGTATTGTAGCATAGCTTCTTATCCTGACACTCTTACCTATAAAATCTTTTACACTAGAACTATTTAGATAATAAAGCTGTAAAAATATTATTATAGAATTTTGTTTCTTCCAAGTTATATTTGTAATCCATTGTGATGTTTAGAATAGATTGAAAGGTAGATAATTTTAAACAATACCTCCTTGTTAGCTAAATTTTTAAATGGCAAATTAGATTTATAAAAATATTTATAGACAGGAAATGAGTTTAGGGGTATTCACATTATAGTTTTAATTTAATTTTCATTTATATATATAGGGCACATATCATGATATAAAATATAATGTGGATATAATTTTGAGATAAAAGGAATATCTTTGAAGAACTGACAAAATAATTCTTTCTATAGCTAGTAAGATTCTCTGCGTCTGATAAAACACTGCTCTTTCATTCTAACTGAGACCTGGAAAAGTTATCCTGAATCTGTTAAGAAAATTTGTAATTGTTGGTATTGTAAATTTGTAATTACTGTTAATTTTCATTTCTTGTGGACTGGTACTGTACTTTATTTAGTGTAAAAAGGCTACTTATAACCCCAAATGCTCAAATTGGTTCAGTATAATACTTTCTAAGGATTGAAACTGATCTTTATAAAATGTAATTCTTCTCTAAAAGAAACAAACCTTCTGGAATGACCTATCTTTAATTGAAGGAGCCTGGGGATTTTTCTTCTATTTTAACAGGGTATTGACATAGGAGATAGTTTAACTATTCCAGATGAATTCACAGAAGATGAAAAAAAGTCGGGACAGTGGTGGAGGCAGCTTTTGGCAGGAGGTGTTGCCGGGGCCGTCTCTCGGACAAGCACGGCCCCTCTGGATCGTCTGAAAGTCATGATGCAGGTGAGCTTTAGGACCTTGTGTCTAAGTGTGTCCAAAATATTCTGAAATAGTGAGAAATGTGGTACTTTGAAAAAAGATAGAAGACATCTCAGTAATAATCATACCTTTAAAAAGCAGTCTCAATTTTATTGCTATTAATTCTGAATTCAGTCCATGTAAGTATTTACTTTAAATTGTTGGTACATATGTATGTGCTCAGTCGCTCAGTTGTGTCTGAGTCTTTGTGACCCTATGGACTATAGCCTGCAAGGCTCCTCTGTCCATGGGATTTTCTAGGCAAGAATACTGGAGTGGGCTGCCATTTCCTTCTCCAGGAAGGTGTGATGAACATGTGTGTGATGAATTTTTAATCTTGGCATCCTGTGCCTATTCAGATGTTTAATTAGAAAGGAAAATCTCTAGCCATTGTTGTAGTACTCTCCTTAAACTACTTATATTTTCCTTCTATTTTACGTACTTTCTTAAAAGAGGGTTTTTGCCTGAAGTCTAGACTCTTGGAACAAGGATGTAATTTAAAAAGTTATTCTAAATCTGAGGTTAGCAGAAAGGACCTGGTTTTATTGATTGACTTTGCTGTTTACTAGCAGTGTAACCCTGGCTGGTCAGAGTGGAAAGAAAGAGGAAAAGGAAAGGATTAGTATTTATTTGTGCTCATTATGGTAACCCATTTAATCTTCTAATAATGCAGCCAGGGGGATTTTATCCTCATATTATCTGGCTCAGAGAGTGGAATAACTTTTCCTGCACAATGAATTAGACAAGGAATGGAGTGTTTTTGACTGTATTTCTTATACTGCGTGAAATGCCTGAGGCTTCATTTTCTTTCATTCTGGATTGGGAGTAAGACTATCTAACAAGAGTGGTAAAAACATTAAACAGTGGAAGTTAGGGGAGAATGCCTGGTAGGCTGGGACACTCCACTAGAATATAGTAGTTGCTTTAAGAAGGTTTTTAAAAGTTGTGTTATTATTCCTGTGGTCAGTACTTTTGTATTTGTCCTTAGATTTCTGTACGGAATGATTTCTGACAATATTTTCAACTAGAATTCATCTAGAATGTATCTACATCTCAGAATATATTTAGGGGTAATGATACTGCTTTAAAGAAAAAGAAGAGAGAATGGGCATGTATTTTTGTTTATAAGAATGGTAGTAAATTGACTTTGAGAAATTTTGAATAAGCATTCATCTTTCCTTTGTCATATTTTACTGTGCAGTTTATTTAAAATAAAATGGATATATTTCAGCTTTATTTCCTACAAGTGCAGGAAGTTTCTCAAAGTACCTTCAGATTTAGCAATTCACAGAACTCACTGGAAGCTTTTATATTTATGGTTATGGTTTATTACAACTAAAGATACAGATTAAAATCAGCCAAGGAGCAAAGAGCATAGGGCTGAGTCCGTGGAAGAAAAAAATGCAGAACTTCTGTTGTCTTCTCCCCGAAGAGTCACAATGTGTTATTTCTTGGCATCAGCCTGTGACAGCATGCCTAGAGTTGCACACCAGTCGAGGAAGCTCACCTAAGTCTTTGGTGTTGAGGGTTTTTCTTGTGATACATCACATACTGCCCTAATGACTAACTTTTTAATCTTCAGCCCCTCTGATTTTTGTTTCTTAAATGTAGTAGTGACTCACTTTATGTGAGCGGAAACAATCAGAAGAATAGCTGACTTTTGACAGAGAAGGAGAAATATTGTATGACTTCCCTTAAATGTGGAATCTAAAAAGAAATGATACAATGAACTTGCTTACAAAACAGGAAGAGATTCACAGGCTTAGAGAACAAACTTAAGGTTGCCAGAGGGAAGGCATAGTTAGGGATCTTGGGATGAACATGTGGCACACTGCTATATTTAAAATGGATAGCCAGTGAGGACCTGCTGCTCCTGGTAGCACATGGAATTCTGCTCAATGTTATGTAGAAGCCTGGATGGGAGGGGAATTTGGAGGAGAATGGATACATGTGAATGTATGGCTGAGTACTTTTGCTATTCACCTGAAACTATCACAACATTGTTAATTGGCTATATCCCAATGCAAAATAAAAACAAAAAAGAATAGCTGACTTCTTTATTTGGGGTTTATTATATGTAATCAGTTTTAGATAGAGGCGAGCATAAGGTCTAGTTTATTTAAACAACTATGAGATTGGTAGTATGAGTCAGGTAATTTATCAATGCTCACTGGGTCAGGAGTTTACACATGATACCTCAAGATAAGCCATAGAATGTACAGGTTTGTTTTTGGTGTCAGGCTATGTATACCCTAGTCTCTACGGTTCTGATAAACATAATATCCAAATTGTTTTCAGCCCCATTTATATTTCATGTCTGTATTATTTCTCAGGGAGGAGGAATAATATATTGCCTTCACTATATTTTTCTAATTTTTCTTACATTGAACTTGCTCATATGCCAAAGGGTGTGTCATAGCCTAGTAAGTATTAAGTTGGCTCATTTTATCTTATGGGTGCTGTTCATGATTTTAATTTCGATCATGTCGTCTCTGCTTTCCCACAACGAGGATATCAATTTTTCTTAGAGTCAGGCTTCTACAATGGTGGTAATAGTTCTTCCCATTATATATTTTCTCAACCCTCTATATTTAAAAAAAAAACTTTTTGTAGTAATAAATAGTATTGAAGGAAAGAGCGTGGTTGTATTGCTGCTTTAGAAATAGTAATGAGTAATGATGTAAAGTAATTAGCCTCCAACTAATAAAAATTAAAAAAAAAAAAAGAAATAGTAATGATAACATCTCATCAGTATTTTATATCATTTTGCTTTATTTTAAGGTCCATGGATCAAAATCAGCAAAAATGAACATATATGGCGGCTTTCGACAAATGGTGAAAGAAGGAGGTATCCGCTCGCTTTGGAGAGGAAATGGTACAAATGTCATTAAAATTGCTCCTGAGACAGCTGTTAAGTTCTGGGCATATGAACAGGTAATAGTTATCACCTATGGAATTTGTTAACAAGGAGGAGTCAAACTGATTCAATAACAAAATACCATGCATTTTAGATTATTATTTTAATACCTGATATTTTTCCACATATACTCCATGAAGAATTTCTGTTACAGGAGATTAGATTAATTAGGAGATTCCGCATGACTAAATTCTGGGATTTTAAATTTCATATTACTTAAATCAGAAAGGTTTTTGTGTTTTCTAAGTAGCTCTTAAAGAAAATGCAAGATTTTAATTTACTAATTTTTGAATTCAGAATAGAAGTTGCACATGAACATAAGTTTTTCTGAAAGTGTCCCCATCCAGAATCTGAAAGGAAAACTTAAGCTCAGGTCCTTTGTGTAATCTGACATTGCTATAAAACTGAGTTGGATGTAGAATGAAAGCTCCATCAGGCAGGGGCTTGGCTGCTTCTCCATGCACTCAAGCACATGGACAGAGCCTGGCATGTGATAAGTTTTCAATAAGTATTAAATGAGTGAGTGAATGAGTAAATGAATGAATGCGATTTACTTCTGAATTAACCTTTCTGTTGCTTTAGGCTGTTTAGGATGTTTGGATGTTAGGATTCCACATCAGCATAATTTGATGTTAAGAGGAAATACACTAGTGGATTTTAGAATTGGCTTCTCTTTATGGTCAGTAGCAGAGTTGTCTAGTTAAGCATGCACAAAAGTATTCTTTCCATGATTTCTTTTGTCATCGTTGACCATAGATAATAAGAACCTTGAAATTTAACTCCACCTTATATGTTGTATTATTTCAAATAAATTTTTGATTATTTTTGATTGTGTTTAGTTTTTTTAGTGTTTAGTTCTTGAGCAACAGAATACTCTTGAGAAGTGTCTTTTCTTGGCTTAAAAGATAGAGAAGCAAAGAAAAAAAAAAGAAAAAAAAATCTAGCCTCTATGACTTAAATTATAGCCTGTTATTGGGAAGGATATTTTCCCTCTATGAAATCATGAGTTATGGCTTGCATTTTAGATACCTATAGGTTATTCTGACCACATACTGGATTTTATGATAGGAAAGCCAGAGCCTAAAACAAATATTGAAGTATATTAATAAAACCATTATTCCATAGGCAGGAAGTCCGTATTTTTGGAAGCTTGTATTATTGTAAGCAGATATGTGTATTACGCTTTATGCTACTTGGCTAATTCTTACCTTGGACGCCACCAACAGGCATCCTCTGCTTCCATCCAGCCAGACTCCTTTCCGGGTGCTCTTCCCAGTATTCTAATTTCTGCATGATAACTTTTCTTAGAGATCAGGAGACAGCTCTCTGCACAAGGTGGCGCAGTGTCCTTGTGGTCTCTGGGGCCTGTTTTACCTGTTTATTTTCTCTCCTTGGTGTAGGTCTGTTTATCCCCCAAGGCTCTGTTAAGCCCAGCTTCCTATTAGGAGCCATTTCCTAAGCATCCCAACCAAAACTGATGCCTCACCTGCCTGATTTCCTTAGAATACTATATTATGGAATATTCAGTTTTCCACTAGATAATAGAAAACCCATTCTTTTCCCTAGTGAATTGTAAACTACTTTGGGATAACTATTATGCCATACGTACTCTCAGATTTCCCAGAGTACCTAGCTAACTCCCTTCTGGATTCAAATAGGTTTTTTTTCATTGAAAAACTAACAGTTTAGAAAATAAATAAAAGGATAGTGCCAGCCTGGGTATGTAGATGTCTTAAACACATCAACACAGGATAAAGCGGTGGTCCATTTGGGTTTTCACTGGCATAACAGTGTGGTTTTATCAGGATCAGGGAGGCAGTGTGGTGTCGTGTTCTCTTGGTTTCAGCTGCCATCTGTATTCTAACTGCCTTCCCTTCTAGCATTTCTCTATTCATCCTGGTACCTACACATCCACCTGTGCACTGCATATCTGTGCATCTCCACTTAGATATCCCAGGGGTACTTCACAGTCATCCCTCCACTACCCTCACTCTAGTCAAACAGACAGACACACGCAGACACATGCGCACACATCCCATTCCTCTTTCTCTAGGTCTTATGGTGGTAAACATGCTTCAACACTTTACTGGAGAGTTATTTCCTCCAGGAAACCTTCCCTTTGTTTTTCTCTGTTAGCACTTTCATCAGCATTCAGTATTGAATTCAGGACTGTAAGCTTCCTTAGGCAGTATTTGTTTTCAGTGTGTGTTCCCAGTGCTGGAAAATCCCTGTTGAATGAGTGAAATCAAAGAACTGCCAGAGCTGGGTTTGGAGCCCAAGGTTGCCCTCAGTCTTAAGTCATTAAGATGAAGGGAAAGATGGGTATTTTGAACAGAAGTGGCTACTTGTGGGCAGAAATGTAGGCACAGGAGAGCATCATTCACTAAGAAAGCTGAAGTTTCACTGGGCTCAAGTGTCATGGAGTGTATGTCCAGGAAGATGATGATGATGAAAACAGGCTGGACAGATAGGCAGGAGCCAGATGTGATGGGATTCTGGATTTTATCCTGAATGTGGGGAGGACACTATTGAAGTGTCCTATGTAGGCAAGTGGAATGAGTGTATTTGCATTTAAGATCAACCTGGAAAGTAGAGAGGTGTTGGAAGAAAGTGAGGCTCAATTGGAGGCAGGAAGACTCTTTAAGGAAATAATTCAGGGATTCAGGTAGGAAATGATGAGTATCAAAGGCAGTGGCTGCAGTGATTGGAGACAAACTGATGTGAACTGAAAAATATTTGGGGAAATAGAAACAACAGAACTCACCGAGTGGATGTGGAGGTGAAAAAGAAGAATTAAGAATGATTTCTGACTTCTAACTTGAGCAACCAAATACACAGAAAAGACAAACAGAAGAATCAATTTTGAGATCAAATGACAGGTTGCATTTTGCGCAGGCTGGGTTTGAGCTCTTTCTGTAACATGTAGAGGGAGTAGTCCATAGGACCTTTGATGTCTGATAAGTTGTCATTGAGGTGAAGGCTTTGGAATGGGTCACTCAGGAAGATTTACAGAATGTGAAGAGTTCTGGGGATATGCCCAGGGAGAAGTAGAAGGAGAAACCTGCAAAGGTGACTGAGGAGGAGCAGCCAAGGGGACAGAAAGGAATTCATAGAAAGTGATGGCCCAAAAGTCAGAGGAAGGAGAGACTTTCCTGAAGGGTAGTCAATATGATAAAAAGCTTATCTTTTAGGATTTATCACTTCAGGGATAGGAAAGCTTGGTATAAATGTTTTAGGGAAGTAATGAGGTGAGAAACCAATTGAGATGAGCTAAAGGGGACAGGAGGCGAAGAAAACTGGATGGTAGACACCTTTGTTAGGAATTTACCTTCAATGAAAGGAAGGAGAAAAGACAAGGGAGAGAGTGACAGAATGGAAGGATTTTGGGTTCTGGTATTTCGTTTTCATGGCATGCCTGTGGCTGAAGGAAGCATGTCAGTAAAAGGAAGGAAGTTAAAAAATATAAGTGAGAGAGTTAGACAGGTGTTGCAGGTATTCAGGGAAAGTATGTGTGTGGGGTAGGGAGTGGAAGGGCGGGGGAAGAGATGTTATCCAGACTGTGGCAGGGTTCACCTTTGACTGCATGGAGAACTCTTCTCATGTCCGCTTAGGAAGAAGTGAATGTGGGTGATTTTGTGGGAAGTGGACAAAAATACCAAGATAATCTTTGCCTGATGGCCTCTTTGTTCTTGCTTGAGTTCCCAAGGAAGGACTTTTTTTTCAAGAATGAGGGAGGAAGGTACTGGAAGCTGGAGGAGAATGGAATGGAGAAGGTTGAAATAGATATTCTGACAAATGGAGAAAGAGTTGACATGGATGGGGTGGATGGAAAGAAAAACAAAATGGAAGAAAGAAAGGAAAGAAATTGAAATCCTGAAAAGGTTTTCAATTGCTTTGAGAGCCCATCTAAACCTCCTTTGAAAAAAGTCAAATTCTGTGGCCTTGAGCAAGCCTCTTAAAGCCTCTGTGACTTGACACCACATCCCTGGGGTAGAAACTCAGCTTGTTGACATAGGGTTAAGCCCTTGTCACTTTGCCTAACCCTGTACCTCTGTCCTCAACCCTTCCCTTTGTGCATGGTATGTTTTGGGGTGCAAAAGCCCCAAACCTGTACTCTTAAAATATTTATTCTCTACCAGTCACTAAGTATTTACTGAGTTCTTTTGATGGGTGCTTTGGGTTGGGGTACAGTATGTAAAAGATAATGTCTTCAAGGTTCCTATTCATATGCAGAATGGTTTTCGATAAATTGTATTTAATGATTGTGATGATCTAACATATAGGAAAATTAATAGGGCCTATGCAGAAGAGGAGTTTTGGTTATTAACATTATGATGTAGTTCAAGAAATAGAGCCCATGGAAACATTGACTTTGGGGGAGGCAGATATCTGCCATTTGGGGAACTTTTTGAAATTGTATTTAATTTTTATCACGAGCAGAGAAGCACAACTTTACTAGGACACAGTATTCCTGTAATTTTGCACTAAGTTCCTCTGATCTTAAGGAATGAACTCTGACTGGCTCAGGAGAGCCAGGTGGGGGTGGCGGTAGGGGTCACTGTGGGGATGCCTGGGGCGTTAAGGGGAGGAGCCTCAGGGCATGCTGAAGTGGAGCCTCGCTGACCTGTCCCTTCTCCTGTGTCTGCTGCTTTGTCACTTTGTCCGTTTCCCCTGCTGGTATCAGTGCCTAATCACACGTATAGACCCGTGTCACAATTCTAGGAGAAAGAATCTGATTTACTTGGCTTCTAATCACAGTCTAATTGGGGCAAAGGTTTTCTCTCCAAGCTGTATAAAGATGATTATGATAATAATAACAACAACAATGTTTATTGAACATGTGCCCAGCACTGTGCTGTGTTATATGTATTATCTAATAATTCTTTCAACAACCCTGTTTGGTATAGGTCTTGTTATCACAGATGAGGCACCTGCAGTTTGGGTATGTTTGTGAACTTACTCAGAGCCATATAGTTCTAGGGTTCCAGTTCAGGCCTGCCTGCCTTTGGAGCCCATGATATTAGCATCCTGCCCCATTGGTATTTTGGCTGCACTTGTGCCAGACTTACGCCTGTGGCCAGATCAGCCTTGTCACTTGTTTTAGTTCTGGCAGGTCGAGGGGTCTAGGGTTGATTTGTTACTTTAATCATATGTATTATCTACAAAAAACTTTTTCTAAGTTGTTTTATTATGTGTTCGTTACTGATTTGTTTTATTTGTACTGGTGGAAACCATGGGGACAGTATCTGAAAGCTGTGAGCCCTTTATTAACCTGTGCACCTGGAAAAGAATGCTATGATTCTGCTTCAGCAAAAGAGCTACAGGGTCACCTCTGTGGACCATCTGTGTTTTGTGGAATTCTAACTTGAAAATCACTCTCCAGTAAATGAGTCTATTAGCATTCAAGCCTTGATTTTCTGTTAGATACTGTTAATGCAGTGTGTGCATTTTGAGAAACATTGCGTTGTCAATTAATTGATTTCTAGGAGCTGATTTGTATTTTTGTATTGTCTAAGCTTGGGCTGACATAACCACCATATGCTGGGTGGTTTAAAAAATGGAAGTTTATTTCTCATGGTTCTAGATCTGGGGAGACTGTCATCAAGGTGTTGATCAGTTTGGTTTCTGGTGAGGGCTGTCATTTTGGCTTGCAGATGGCCACCCTTTCACTGTCTGTTCACATGGCCTTTCCTTAGTGGATTCATGTTGGGCGAGGGGGAAGATAGAGCGAAAGGAAGAGGCAGAGAGAAGTGAAGAGGAGGGAGGGAGGATGACATTGAACATGTATGTGAGAATAAGGGAAAGAGAACTCTGATGTCTCTTGTAGGAACACTAACCCTGTCGTGAGGGCCCTATCTCATGATCAGACCATAATTTCTCCCAAAGGCCCCATCTCCAGATACCATGCATTGGAGGTTAATGCAGTTTCAAAATATGAACCTGTTGGGGGTGGGAGGGAGAAGTGGGGGAAAGAACACAGTTCATTCTATAGCAAATATTAATGCACATTTAAAACTTCATTTACACAGTACAAGAAGTTGCTTACTGAGGAAGGACAAAAAATAGGAACCTTTGAGAGATTTGTATCTGGTTCCATGGCTGGAGCAACTGCACAGACTTTTATTTATCCTATGGAGGTAAGTACTATTGTGAAGTCTGTTTATTAATAGTGTTTGTATTTTTATCTATTGCTGCGTAATAGGTTATCCCAAAATTAACAGTTTAAAACATATTTATCATCTCACAGTTTCTGTGGGTCAGGAATCTGGCCTCTGGTTCAGGATTTCTCACAACCTGCAGTCAGGGTGTCAGCCAGGGCTGCAGTCCCTGCAGGTATCAATGGGGGATGGACCTCTTTTTAAGTTTATTCATGTGTGTATTGCCAGGGCTCCATAGCTATTGGTTGAAGATATCAGTTCCTTATTGCATGGGCCTCTCCATAGGATGCTTGTGTATCCTCATAACATGGTAGCTGTATTTTTTTTCCAAATCAGTTATCAAAGAGAACACCCAAGATGGAAATTGCACTCTTTGGTCACATCTGCTCTACTCTGTAGGTTGCACAGACTGCCCCTGGTAGACTGTGGAAGGGGATACACATGGCATAAATAGCAGGAGGCTGGGAGAGTTGGGATTTATCTTGGAGGCTGACTGCAATACTGTTAATAAGAATTAGAACACCCAATTCACTCTAAAGAGTTTCTGTACCATAAATTCCAAAATGGAACCTTAGAATTAGATTAGGTGATGGTAATCCTAGCTGGGCATCCTTCCATTAAAGCGTAGATTAGCAAACCATGGATCTGTGAACTATTTGGTACAGCCTTTTTTTTTTGGTTTTTGCATTTTTGCCTTTCTAACATGGTTTAAAAAACAAAACAACAAAATACAAAACCAAAGAATTTGCAACAGAGACCTGGTATTTTAGTCTTGCAGAAACTAAAATATTCTTTATAGAAGAAGTTCACCAACTCCTCCTTTAGGGTAAAGATAATATCGTAGATGTGGCTATCTTTGTTGATACTACAAAGTTTTTTTTCATAACGGAAAAGACCTAAGAAATACCTTTAATTTCCATCTTTATGGTATGTATGTTAATATAGCTTTCCTTTCAAGCATCTTAATATTATTGTTCATATTACTCCACACACCCCTCAAAAAATATCCTAATTAAAATCTAAGCTTCCTCTTACATCCTCCATCTCAGTTAATAGCATCACCTTCCCTCTATCCTGCTGGCCACATCCTGAGTTCCATGCTAGAAACTCTTGAGTCATCCTTTACACTGCCATTTCCCCCACCCTCCATATCTAATTTGTCACAGTTTTGTTAAGATATCAGTAGATTATCTTCTGTTTCCTCTGCCACTGCTCTAATTCGGATTCTCTTTACAACTAAAGCATTTTCTTGACTCTGGTCTTAGACCCTCAAGAGAGATACTGTATAAGAGTTTCTTACACATCAACAAATTGGACAGTCATTTGAGTGACAATATATGCTAGGTATATGTTCTTTGTAAAATTGCTTATTTCAAATTCTATGATGATAGCATTAGTGTGAATAATAATATTTGTTATATTCTTTCATAACCAGGTTCTGAAAACCAGGCTGGCTGTAGGCAGAACTGGACAATACTCTGGAATGTTTGATTGTGCCAAGAAGATTTTGAAATATGAAGGCATGGGAGCTTTTTATAAAGGTTATGTTCCCAATTTATTAGGCATCATACCTTATGCAGGTATAGATCTTGCTGTATATGAGGTGAGTTTGTAGCAATCTTTTGAATCCAACAATATAGTTAAGTAGTTCTCATTGTTAGAATTTGACTTTATATAGAGAAGTACATGTCTGCCAGGAAATAGTTTGTAAACGAAAATAGATTCAAGGGTGTATTCTTTGATCTTTCTGAGACCCTATATGCCTGTGATCTTTTGTGTTAGATTTCCCTGTTAATTATTTTTATTAATGAAGATAATAGACTCACATTCAGATATAGTTGTTTAATTCTCTAATACCATATACAAAAATAAAATAAAAATAGATTAAAGTGCTAAGGGCGGATACCATAAAACTCCTAGAGGAAAACATCAGCAGAACAACTCTTCAACATAAATCACAGAAATATTTTTTTGGACCCATCTCCTAGAGTAAGGGAAATAAAAACAAAAATAAACAAATGGAACCTAATTAAACTTAAAAAGCTTTTGCACAACAAAGGAAGCCATAAACAACATGAAAAGACTACCTGTAGACTAGGATAGAATATTTGCAAACAGTGCTACCAGTGAGGGGTTAATTTTCAAAATTCACAAACAGCTTAATATCAAGAAACAGCCCAATCAAAAAATGAGCAAAAGGCCTAAACAAACATTTCTCCCAAGAAGACATATAGATGGCCAATAGGCACATGAAAATATGCTCAATATCACTAATTATTTGGGAAGTGTAGATCAAAGCTACAGTGAAGTATCACCTCACAGCAGTCAGTTGGCCATCATTAAAAAAGTCTAAAAATTAATAAATGCCAGACACAGTGTGGAGAAAAGGGAATCCTTGTACACTGTTGGTAGGAATGTTAGTTGGCACAACCACTATGGAAAGCAGTATGAAAGTTCCTTAAAAAAAAACTAAAAATAGAGCTACCATATGCTTCTGCAGTTCCGTTCCTGGGTGTGTATCCAGAGAAAACTTTAATTTGAAAAGATACATGCACCTCAGCGTTCATATCAGCACTATTTAGCCAAGACATGGAAGCTACCTAAGGTCCATCAACAGATGAATGGATAAAGAATATGTATTTATACACAATGGAAACTCAGCCATAAAAAATGAAATAGTGTCATTTCCAGCAACATGGATGAACCTTGTTTTGTTTAGTTGCTCAGTAGTGTCTGACTCTTTGTGACCCAGTGGACTGTAGCCTGCCAGGCTCCTCTCCCCATGGGATTTCCCAGGCAAGAATACTGGAATGGGTTGCCACTACCTTCTCCAGGGGATCTTCCCAATCCAGGGATCAAACCCATGTCTCCTGCATTGGCAGGTGGATTCTTTACCACTGAGCTACTGTATAGCACAGGAAACTGTATTCAATGTCTTGTAATAACCTATAATGGAAAAGAATCTGAAGAAAAAGACTGTATAACTGAATCACTTTGCTGTATACCTGAAGCTAACACAACATTGTAAATTAGTTATACTTTAAAAAAATTATTACAGATGTAGTTGTTCAGCTTGGAAGATGATACTAGGGATTTTGAAGAGAGAGATAATAAGCAAAAATGGCATATTTTTTTTGGTTTGTAAAAATTTCATATTGATAAAGCCAAGAGACTGATGTGGGTAGTACAGATTTATTCTTTGTACTTGCCAGCCTGAAGAAACCTAGGAGGAATGAAATAAACACAAGTCATTTATTTGGGATCAAAGAATTGCAATTCAGTGCACCTGGATTTGGGTAGCAATTTCAACAGTGTCTGCTAGGGAGTAAAAGGGGTTTTTAATGGCAACAAAGGGAGGTCTGCATTACAAAGAATTTTAGAGAGAGCTGAAAGCAGAATTTAGTTGGCTAAACATGGTTGATGGCTAAGGCTATCACTGGAGGGAGGTAAGAATTCATTACTGTGACAAGTTGTCAGTGTCCTTGCAGAGTCTTTGGACTGTCTGTGGTGTGGCCCAGTTCTTAAGTTCATGGTTCCACTTGGTGAGACGTACATAAGGCCTAACTCTTGAATGGCCTTTTGGCTTCGTTTTAAAACCCCTTGACATAAATGACTCCATTTTATTCCACAGATTGTCCTTTTGATCAAGATCGTTCTCTAAAAGCATTGCCAAACAACTTAGAGGTTTGCTTTGTCTCATATCACTGGGATTGACCTGTGATAAAGTCCTGTTTCTTGTTGGGGAGAATTTTTATTCTTCAACACTTACTTCAAAGAGTCAGTGTCATAGGGTTAGACAACATTTGAGCAACAGGGAGATATTCAGGAAATGACTCTTGGGCAGATTTGGTGACTCATAAGGAAGTTGTCCTTGTGGCCTGATCAACCAAGTTATTTCCTTTGGTTTCATCTGAATTTAAAAAGTTTTTTTTTTTTTTTTTAATTAGAGGATAATTGCTTTACCGTGTTGTCATCTGAATTTAATTTTGGATGCCCAGGTACCCTAATGGTGGTTAGGACAAATGGAAGCTGGATTGATTCCAGCAGTCTTTTGACCCAATTTTTATTCTTAATCTGGCTTCTCCCTAGGTTAAGAATCCTTTTGTTTCTAAAGCATACCGAAGCCAAGAACTACCCTCATGGCAAAGTGACTATCTGTATAGGTATTCATAGTTTTAGTTTCTGCTAGGGTGCAATCTCCAGTTAAAGCTGGAGATTTCTGTCTGCTGGGCTGAAGTAGTGTTCAGCAGTGGCACTGCCTCAGTTACTTCAAAGGAATAAATGACTGCATACCCCGCACTATTTTCTTTGCCATTTTTGAATCTAGAACCATCAGTAACAAGGATTTCTTGTAAGTCACTGCTAAGGGTTAATAACTGACCAGTTAGGATCAGACAGTCATGAGTAGTTTTGCCACCATGTAAAGGGAGAAGAGTTGCAAGGTTGAGGATGTTGTAGCAGGGAAGAGTTATGTCACAAGTTAGTAATGACATTTCATATGGGGTAAGACGGCTTGCAGAAAGGTATTGAGTGTGATGAAATTTGAGCAAACCTCCTGTTGCATGGGGGAACATAGATGATAAGTGGAGAGACTGTAACCATTTCCTCAGTTATGTTGTAAGGGCTGCTGCTTCTGAAATAACTGTTATGCTTGGAGGCAGACCTCTGGCCACAGATCCGATTGTTGAGTGTCATAGCCAAGGGATTGGTGTTGACCTCTGTGCCTTTGAATAAGCAATCCTAATGCATTTCTCTGCTCTTGTACATGAGGTAGAAAAAGGGAAGCTGATAATTAGAATGTCCTAAATGGAAAATCCCATGGACGGAGGAGCCTGGTAGGCAGCAGTCCATGGGGTCGCTAAGAGTCGGACATGACTGAGCGACTTCCCTTTCACTTTTCACTTTCATGCATTGGAGAAGGAAATGGCAACCCACCCCAGTGTTCTTGCCTGGAGAATCCCAGGGACAGGGAGCATAGTGGGCTACCATCTATGGGGTCGCACANTGGTTGGGCCTGAGTTTTGTGCCCTTCCCAGGTCCAACCAGCTCAGGCAACCAGGTGCTTGGCGAGCACACTCTCCCCAGGTGGAGGGTACATCTTTTCACCTCTCTGGTCCCAGCTGCTTGGTTTCTTGGGTGTGCAGTGGGAGCATCATCTCAGGTGTGCCGTGTGTCTCCTCTGGGGAGCTGATCTCTGGCTGCGGCCCTCCCGGCGGATGTCAACCATTCAGGATCCCAGGAAGATTTGGTTAGCAACTGGGAGCCTGCTCGCAGTTTAGTAGAAGATGCCGTCCCTGGGGCTGAGATTGCCCCTCACCTTCTGGCTCTGGGTGTTGCCCACCTGCCTCTCTGCCTCCAGCAGGGGATGGGCTGGTCCACACCTGGCTAGCTCTCCTCTGGTATTCACTCAATCCTTTGTTCTGTGAGCCGGCCTGGCAGTGCCTTAGTTTAGAGCTTTTCGCGGGAAAGTTCTCTCTCTTTTTTTTTCTCTCTCTCTGGCTATCCCACAGTTTGGGTTGTTATCTCAGGTTAGCTCCCTCAGATTGTCCTCAGGGCACTCAGGCCCGGTCCTTACCCTAAGGAATGCAGCCTGTGTCTCCCTGTTCAGCCCTCGCTTGCTGCTGGCAGATGCGAGCCTCTGAGCTACTTCTCTGCTGGGAGTTGTGGTTAGGCACGTAATCTGTGGGTTGTTTTTTTTCCCTCCCAGTTATGTTGCCCTCTGAGATTCCAAAACTCCCCACAGACCTGCCGGTGAGAGGGGTTTCCTGATGTTTGGAAACTTCTCCTTCACAACCCCCTACCCGGGTCAGGTCTCTGACCCTAGCTCTTTTGTCTCTCTTTTTATCTTTTATGGACTGCCCTGGTGGCTCAGTCGGTAAAGCGTCTGTCTACAATGCGGGAGACCTGGGCTCAATCCCTGGGTCAGGGAGATTCCCTGCAGAAGGAAATGGCAGCCCACTCCAGTACTCTTGCCTAGAAAATCCCATGGCTGGAGGAGCCTGGTGTCCATGGGGTTGCAAAGAGTCGGATGACTGAGCGACTTCACTTTCACTTTATATTTCATCCTACCTCCTTTCGAAGAGAATGGGCTGCCTTTCTGGATGCCTGGTGTCCTCCGCCAGCATTCAGAAGTTTTTTTGTGGAATTTGCTCAGTGTTCAAATGATTTTTCAATGAATTTTTGGAGAGAACGTGGTCTCCCCATCCTATTCCTCCACCATCTTAAGACTGCCCCCTCCAGATGTTTTAAAGTTGTCTTTTGGTCTGTGGCTGTGGGAAATTTAAGACACTTTGAATCCTCGTAGGGTCTAAATGATGTCCTTAATCTGAGATCAGGTGTCCTAGGTATTTGACCTGTGTTTGAACAAGTTGTAATTTCTCTTTGGAGACCTTCATGACCTTCAGTTGCTAACAGCTTGAGAAGATGATGCTGACTTGCTCACTTGCTTCCTTGGAAAAGAAGAAGAGAAGAACATATTGCAAAGGGTGGGCACTTATGGAAAAATGACAGATGCTAAATCTGCTTTTAGGATCTGTAAAAAGTAGGGCTTTCAGTCTAGACTTCTGACATGTCCAGGTGTATTGTCCTTCCCACATGAAAGCACATAACATTTGACTTTCACAATCCACAGAGATGCTGAAAAAGGTGCTACAGAGATCAATTATGGTGAAAAACTACTCTGTGGGAATTGCCATTAAGAGAGCATGAAGGTCAAGGGTAACTGGATAGCAGTTAATGACAGTGTTATGAATAGCTTTCAAATCTTGGGCAAATCTCCATTCTCCTCCTTGGGGTTTCTCAATAGGGAGAATGGGTATATTACAGAGACCAGTGCAGGGGACTCTGAGGTCTTGTGTCTTATATTCTTGTATGATTTGTTGAATTCTTGCTAAGGCTTCAGGATTTAAAGGACATTGTTTGATGTTAGGAACAGGCTTATCATGGTCTATTTGAATTTGAATTGGGGAACTCAGATGAATCTGCCCAATGTGGGTTGTGGATTTTGCCAAGTCTCTCAAGGACTTCTTTGAGTTTCAAGTTTCTGTTACCTTCCAAACTTGTCTTAAGGACAAAAACTACTGACAAAGTTGAGGAATTTGGAATGCCATCCATTGTTGAGGGGTTGAATTAATTTCAAGGATAATTTCCCATTTTGAGAAAAAGGGATACAAATATCTCTTCAAGTCCCAGATTTCAGTTTGTTTGGGTGTATACCTATCAGTAGAATTGCTGGGTCATATAGTAATTCCATGTTAAACTTTTTGTCAGTTCAGTCACTCAGTTGTGTCTGACTCTTTGGGATGCCATGGACTGCAACACACCAGGCTTCCCTGTCCATCAGCAACTCCTGGAACTTGCTCAAACTCATTTTCATGGAATCGGTGATGCCATCCAACAATCTCATTCTTTGCTGTCCCCTTCTCCTTCAATCTTTCCCAGAATAAGGGTCTTTTCCAATGAGTCAGTTCTT